CAGTTCCTATGGGCCTCCGGAGGGCGTGGTCGAGTCAGAGCAACTGCAGGGCGTGGCAGCTCGTGCAACAGGCTAGTGTAGGCTAAAGCTAGTTGCTAATATTTTAATAGAGAAGATGCAGGAATATGGTGGAATTACTTACATTACACATTTATGCAACACAGTACCATATATAATATACAAACATGATATATGGTGTCTGTGTAGACTTTGAAAATACTTGATTATGAGAGTAAGCTTCTTTTTTTTCTCTATCTACTAATTATCTATGATATCTCTGAGTATATATTCCGTATCATATATACATGTAGGTCGACGTCCAGGCAGCAAGACATGAGTTTAGTTCATCTCAGTTTTAGTTCGTCTCGAATGCCACCCCCCCACCCCGCCCCCCGCGACCAAACTCATCTGTCATAAAAACTGCTGGCGGCCCTGAGAGCACCCGACTCCCTCATCCCCGACCCATCCGCACTGCCTTCTCCAAAAATAAACCACTAATATATCTTCCAGTCATATTATTTACCTAGATTCATATAGATTTCTTTCTTACATATATAAAAGGCAATTTTCATATTGTCTTATTGAGCCTCTTTTAAAATTCAAATTCAAATTGAATTCGCGTCCTTTTCTGTGTCTCTATGTCTTCCCGAAACCCCTTCTCTGCATTTGCACGTACCATCCTGTTTTAGCCTTCCCCCCCCCCCCCCACCCTTCCCCTGCCCCGCACAAGGACCTCCCCCCCCTCAGGCCGGAACCCTGCACCTTCTGGCGGTATAAAAGACGGGCACGAAGATGCATCTCCACCATTCACCTCCGCTCGTCTCCGGAGCAAGTGTCTCGCTGCGGTCGTCTCTCCCTCGAAACATCACCATGAAACTGGTAACGATAGACAGTTCTTTCTCGCGTCTTCCATTTAGTAGTTGATGTGACGGTATTCTGTAATTTTGTTTACGGACAAAAGTTTTTTCTTCTCGACCTTGCTTCTGACTGCATTATATGTACGCACGAATATATACATGCAAACATACACATATGTATATGTATATATATGTATGTATATCTATCTATCCCTCTATATATGTATGTATGTACACATGTGTGTGTGTCTGTATATGTATATATATATGCATATATATATGTGTGTGTGTGTGTGTGTGTGTGTGTGTGTGTATATCTGTGTGCGTGTGTGTGTATGTATATGTACCCTCACACACACATGTATATATATACATATATATATATATATATATATATATATATATATATATATATATATATATATATATATATATATATATATATACACACACACACACACACACACACACACACACACACATATATATATATATATATATATATATATATATATATATATATATATATATATATATATACATACAATATGTGTGTATATATTTACATATATACATAGAGAGAGACTGAAACAGGTACACAAGGGCCTGCGCACTTGGCCCTTCACCAGCTTACCTGTCAACCCTTTTCCTCCGGCAGTTGATGCTGCTGGCGCTGGCGGGGCTGGCGAGCTGCAGCACAACCCTGGTCGGAGGCGACCGCGCCAGGGACGTCTCTCTTCGCTACAAGTAAGTCGGGTCCCTGCCGTTAGGTCGCAATTCCTGAGTGCATACACGCATGTTCTTCCTTATAGCTTGTTTGTTTCGCTTTCTGCTCCTCCGACCTGAGAGAACCCCGCTCTCCCGCAGGTACTACGACGACGACGGCAGGGAGATCCAGGTGGAGGTGGAGGCCGAGAGGCTGGGACTCGGCCTCGTCGGCGGGGCGCCCCGGAAGGCCGCGGCCGCCGCCCCTGCTCCTGCCCCTGCCCCTGCCCCTGCCACCCGCCTTGCCCCCGTGAACGCTGTCCCCCGACCCCAGACGCGGACACGCTTCGTCCCCGTGGAGGCCGCCCCTGTCCGTGTGGAGACCCGTTTCGTCCCGACTCAGGTGCAAGTCCAGCCTCAGTTGCGCACGCGCTTGGTCGAAGTCGCTCCGGCTCCCGAAGTCACCCGCTACGTCCAGGTGGAGGCTCCCAGGGCCCGCTACGTCAGACTGGACGACGACGACGATGACGACCTCCCGGCCGTGTTCCGCGCATCGCTCCCCGTCGCCCCCCCTGCTCCCGCCCCCGCCCCCGTGCAGCGCCTGGCGCCCCTGCGCTCCTCCCTGGCCGCCGTCGACAGGGTCCTTGCTGTCCCCGCCCGCAGGGTCTCCTACAGCAGCGATGAGGAGTAGGCAGGACTCACGGCACGCCTGCGGTAGCCTGCACAGGATTCTTCTTTATTCTTCGAATCTTCTTCCAAACATTATAAATTAATTCTAAACGAATAAATGCAAAAGTAAACCTACTCAGTGTTTCATTCACAGGCTGTATTTTTGCAAGAATAAAAGTTAAGGATGACGTACCCACTTCAGCGTTTTTAATCATTAGTCTTTGTTTCGTTTTAATCAGCTTTACATCCCTGAATGAGTAGTTTCATGCACTATCCCTGGAAGATATTGGTAAAAACATTGTAAAGATAACAACATTTCTTTATTCTCTTTATTCCTGTAATATATATCTACAATGCTTTACACGATTCAAAATTTACACAAAGCAAGACCTTATCTTTTCTATGAACAAGTACTGGAAATGTAACTGATTATGAGCATTATAGATGATAGACCATAACTTCCAAGTAAACTTTTAACATCTCATTCGATCCACTTACTTAATCCACGACTTGTTAGATATGAGGGTCGACTCAGAGAAAAGCAAATTCGACTCGATATAAGTAGAGAGTATTGGATATGATTATCCCTTATCGTTCTTAATAAAGGAATGCACACGTTCCCTCACTTTTTGAAGCAGGTGGTTCAGCCGTCTTCACGTGGGCTATTTCAGGCCCATCGGAGGGCAAGTAGGAATGGTAAGTTACTCATGACACAAGATTTCGAAGACGGAAACATCACTTGAGCAAAATACATCTTTGATTTCTTCACTATTGGGCTGTCTTGGATCAGGCGCCAGATTCATACAAACTGAGCTTTTCGTATTAAAAATATTGGCAGGAATTTAGAAAAAGGTGGTTGGGATAAGATTTTCTTCATTGGTGAGCAGTTCAGTAGTAGATAATAAGTTCACAAATCACAGATATGAAGCGGACGGCTTTGTTTCAACGGCTCATAGTTACAGTGTGTAAAGAGAAAAGAAAACTAAGAATGACATTATACTGACTACTTACACGGATCGTTAGAACATAATGTAACCTAATTAATAATTACTACACAGGTAGACATGAGTGGTAAAGAGGCCTTCACTGACTAACAAGTGGCAGGAATTCTCATGCGACAAATCTCTTCTTGGGAATCTCAGCCTTACTCTGGTGGTGCTAGGTAGTATTCTTACTTGTCTCTGGTCATTCGGCGATGTTTAGAAACATCTGTGTCATGTGTTACTTTTATTATAATAAAAGTATTAATGTCTGCATAATACTCCAAGTGTCTTTTATGAGAAAAATATCACTCGCAAAGTATTCCTCATAATCGATTTATCTTTTTCTCTATCAACTCATTCATATTTATTTCAGTATAAAACAAACAGGAATCAGTGTGTACCTTGAGTCCTTGGTCAGTGAAGCTCAGCTCGTTTTCGTATGTGAAATGTGTCGTTCAGACTCCGCAGATTTATCATCGGCGGCAACACTATTCGCGATGTGCATTATGTATTATCATATATTTTTGTTGAACCTTGATGTGTTTTTGCATCCAAAGGTGGCGATGCTTAACACTCAAGTGGGTAGTAACAATAAATTCACACACATACACAAACACACAATATATGTATATGCATACATACTAAAGAGGAACCTCTAAGAAATCTTAAACTAAAATATGTATACAGTACGTACAAGCATGTACTGAATATGTGTGTGTAAGGAGGAAAAGTAGGTTTCTGTTCATCTTAACCACGTATTCAATAATTAACAATCAATACATTAATAGAGATTTTATCATGATATAAAACAAACGAAATAAAAGTAATTATCACGAAAACGCTGTATCCCTGTATCGGCTCCTCCGGCCTCCTCTTCGGACGAGTGTTCGTAATCTGAATCCTTGTGCAAATGCAGGCGAATCGGACTCTTGCCTGTATTTAAAAAAATATCTATACATATATATATATATATATATATATATATATATATATATATATATATATATATATATATATATATGTATATATATATATATATATATATATATATATATATATATATATATATATCCATGTATATCTATCTATCTGCCTATATCTATCTATCTATCTATCTATCTATCTATATATGTGTGTGTGTGTGTGTGTGTGTGTGTGTGTGTGTGTGTGTGTGTGTGTGTGTGTGTGCGCGCGCGCGCACGCGCGTGTGTGTACGAAAGAATTAATGATATGGAAAGACTAAGAAAGAGAGAATCACTGAAGACTTGCAATATGCAGAAAGTTTGATGAATATTCCCACAGCACCCTATTCCACACTATTTTCTTCCAGTGGTTTGAAAGAGGCAATGAACTCTCGTATAGTGAGAATTCTTCAGTACCTTCACCATCATAAAAACTGATCAAATTCTACTACTAGTTTTATCATGTTTTATGTTAATGTTAGCAATGTCAATGCTAAGGTACATTCACACTGACACGGGAAGATATCTAAAATTAATATGTTAATGATAAACAGTGCTAAAAATATGCTAATCAGTTTTTCTCACACTTTCAACCTTTAACCGACACGAAAAGTACAGACATAATAACCAGAAAACGTCGTAGGAACGAAGCACATAAATCAACGCATGTTCCCTGTTGTTTATTCAAGAGCCTGCATGTGGTGAAGAGAATTCCGGCCACTCGGACTCTAACGTTAGCGAAGCAAAAACTTGCATTTTCCTAACTAGACCTTCCCCGTCTCACCCACGTGATCTCCCAGTATATAAGTGTGCTTGGCCGGCGGAAGGGTACCAGTTCTCTCCTCGACTTGGTCAAGGCAAAGGCTGTTGGATCCTCCGCTTTGCAGAACCGCCATCATGAAGTTTGTATGTAACAGTAAAGCTCTTCGTTTTCCATCTCGGTACAGAACTTTTTATAATACTTACAAAGAATATTGAGAGAAAAAACACATGAAGGGATTATGCATGCTAATCTAGAAAAAAATCACTGTAGCTTGACGTTTGTAACAAACATTCAACAAATTCAGTAAATGATCCTTGCATTTTCCAGGTGGTGCTACTGGCGCTGGTGGGCCTCGCGAGCTGTAGCCGTAACAGTGGCGGACATTTCGGCAAGGACGTGAAGATCCAGTACACGTAAGTATACAACTGGTCACAAATCAGAATACGTTTTTAAGGTCTGAATAAAAAAGGAATACAGAAGAGAACAGGGATAACCGAAAAGGTAAAAAAAATCTGTTCCCGAATTCCAGCTTCGAGGATCACGACGGCGATGAGGTGAAGGTGGAGGAGGAGCACGATCGCCTGCAAGAGGTCCGCGCGCCGGACTTCAGGGCCGCCGCGCGCGCCGAGGCAAAAACCCCCAAGAGGAAGGTCGCCTTCGTGGACAGCATTGACGACGAGGACGTCCGCTTCGTCCCTGCAAGCGTCCCCGTTTCCAGGCCAAGGAGCCGCCTCGTCGGAGCCGCCCCCGCCCCCCTCCCGAAACCCAGGGTGCAGACCCAGTACGTCGAGGTGGAGGCCGTCCCCGCCCTCGCCGTCGGCCCTCGGGTGGAGGAACGCCTCGTCGAGGTGGAGGCAGCTCCCCTCCGCCCACTGCGACCCCAGGCGGAGGCGAGATTCGTGGAGGTCGAGGCGGTGCCCCTCCCCCTCCTGCGTCCTCGGGCGGAAACCCGCTTCGTAGCGGTCGACGCCGTCCCCGCCCCTGCGCCGCGTCCCCAGGTCGAGGCCCGCCTCGTCGAGGTCGAAGCCCCTACGTTCAGGTCTCGCAAGGTCGACCTCGACGACGACGACTTCGGCGCACTGCTGATCGGGGCTGCCCAGCCCGTCGCGGCCTCTGGCCCGCCGCCCGCCAGGCCGCAGCCCCTGGCCGCCGCGCGCTACTCATCGCCTGCTTTCGACCGCGTCTCCGCCCGCCTCGCCCACAGGGTCTCCGACAGCAGCGACGAAAACTAAGCGGGCGACGAGGGTGACCTGAGGGTACTTTGGGCTTTAAGGGATGTCTATTTGAATAAAGTTCTTTATATATAAAACTTTTCAATTCTCATCTATGAATCAGACCATCTAATACAGACCTGTACGTTAGAATGCATGCAAAAGACACAGGCCGAATTACGCCAGGGAAACCCATTATCTCCACCTCTATCCCGTTTCTTCGTCGTCTACGAGGCAATACGAAGATTATTTTTCCAGATTAAAGCCACTTGCCACTTTATGATCAAAGGATCATGAGCCACATGTGAAGTCCGTTCATCACTAAAGTATAGACATTATTGAGGATATCAGTTATTCCCTTGCGCTACATTTAGGATGAAATGATCCTGCTAATTGTGTTTCGACAGACGGACGACATTCCACACACTCGGAATATCAGGTCCTGTTGTTCTCTCATCCTTTTCGTTCAAATTCAGATTCATCCTTATTCATAACGCTAAGCCGTACCTTGCGTCAGGAATTGTGTCCCATGCTTAGGCGAGGTTAGAGAGAGCGACAAGAGAGAACCCTTTGGTATAACTTAAAAAAAAGAAAAAAGAAAGAAAGAAAATGTATGTCTGTATATGTGTGTATATATATGTATATGTGTGTGTGTGTGTGTGAGTGTGTGTGTGTGTGTGTGTGTGTGTATGTGTGTGTGTGTGTGTGTGTGTGTGTGTGTGTGTGTGTGTGTGTGTGTGTGTGTGTGTGTGTG